AAAGCAGTGGTTGTGTTCCCACCCCAAACCCCAGACCCCTCACGGAGACTGCCGAGAGGCTGGAAGTGGCAGCCACAGGGCCATGGGGAGAGCTGGGGGCCAAGTGCAAGGGCCCCTCCATCCCCTGACCCACAGGGATCTCCTGGGGTGGCACCAGGCCCTCAGCACCGCACAGCAAACGTCATCACACATAAACACACATGCACGCACTCAAGCACGCACGCACGCACACATGCACGCACGCAGGACTCACCCCACCTCATCCTGCCAGCACAGATGTCTCACTAGCAGCACAAAAGCCGCACCCACCTCCCCTTCCAGGCAGCTGGGGACACTGAGGCTCAGCGGGAAAGTGATGGTGGAGCTCACACTGAGGGGACAGTGATCATGGGCGCCCACGAGGGGACTAGGTCTATGACTGCTGGCTTATGGGCTGGTTCCTCGATTTCCAAGTATGTCCTCACGCTGCGGGGTGGAGGGGGGGTAGGCTAAGGGGCTCCCAGGCACCCTCATGCTGCCTCTGAGACCCCAAACCCAGACTGTCCCGGAGGGCCAGAGGGGTCCAGCCAGCGCCAGCTCCTGCTCACGCTTCCCTCACTTGGAGCAGCTGACTCCCCAGCGGGTGCCCACAACCCAGATCAGAGATGGGCCAGCCTGGACCAGCACCTCCTTATTCCGTGTGGTCACTCGGGCTTGAGGGCCAGAGTGAGGAGGTCAGAGACTCCTCCCGTACCAGCCCCTCCTTACCTCTATCCCAGCCCCCCAATAGCTCACAGTGCTGGAGGCAGTGCCCCGGGCATGAGATGGAGACATCAGACCCTGGGTAAGTGCTGGCGGGCCCAGGTAGGTGCCAGCCAGCCCAGGTAGATGAAGGCAGGCCCAGGTAGGTGCCAGCGGGCCTAGGTAGGTGCCAGTAGGCCCAGGTAGGTGCAGGCAGGCCCAGGTAGGTATTGGCAGGCCCAGGTAGGTGTCAGCAGGCCTAGGTAGGTGCAGGCAGGCCCAGGTAGATGCCGACAGGCCCAGGTAGGTACCAGTAGGCCCAGGTAGGTGCAGACAGGCCCAGGTAGGTGACAGCGGGCCCAGGTAGGTGCAGGCAGGTCCAGGTAGGTATCGGCAAGCCCAGGTAGGTGCTGGCAGGCCCAGGTAGGTGCCAGGGGGCCTAGGTAGGTACCGGTAGGCCCAGGTAGGTGCAGGCAGGCCCAGGTAGGTATCGTCAGGCCCAGGTAGGTGCCAGGGGGCCTAGGTAGGTGCAGGCAGGCCCAGGTAGGTACCCACAGGCCCAGGTAGGTATCGGCAGGCCCAGGTAGGTGCCAGCCAGCCCAGGTAGATGAAGGCAGGCCCAGGTAGATGTTAGGGGGCCCAGGTAGGTGCCAACAGCCCGGTATGTACAGGCAGTCCAGGAATTGGCACCTGTCCAAGGTGACAGGTGACTGAGGGACGCTGGCGCTGGCTGCAGAGCTGGGCCATGGTTCTGGCCAGGGGGCTGCAGGAGCCCAGAGAGAGGCCATCCTCTGGCAGAGATGCCCACTGAGCGGAGGGGCAGCTGCCCATCACCTTCTACAGGTGCCGTCGGACCAGCAGTGCCCCAGGGCCTGGCCCGGCAGGTGTGTTGGCTGAGCCTGCTTCTGAGTGAAGCCGCGGTGGCCCGGCTGACTTCTGCAGGGCACAGACCCAGGGACCCGACCCAGCTCTGCCCCCCACAGCCTGCCACCGCCAGAACCCACAATCCTGCTGGTCTGCCCAGGCCCTTGCCCAGCCTGGGTGGCCCCCGCAGGCGGAAGGGAGAGTACTTAGGGTCAGCCCAGCCCCAGGATGTCCTGGTCCCTGACTCTCCCAAGAGCAGTTTCTTGGGGTTCCCCTTCCTGAGACCGAGCAGAATGAGAGCGAGCAGGGTGGAGGCCGGGCTGGTACTACCCAGGAAGTGCCCAAGCACCATCAGCAATTCCACTCCCGGGGGAGGGCAGCTCAGGGCATGAGCAGGGAGGTGCCCACACAGACAATTCCACTTCCTGCCTCATTGTCTGTAAGCATCTTTGTGTCACTGTCATCTTGGGACCACACGCAAGTGTGTGGTCCCACCTCAGTGGGACTTCTGGCTGGGAGCAGGGGACCCTACGGGATGCCGAGGGAACGAACCTAGGTCGGCCTTGTGCAAGGCAAGCGCCCTCCCCGCTGAGCTGTCTCTCCAGGCCCCTGTTTCGGAATCACGTCTGAAGTAAGTACCGGAGGCTCAAGGGAGCACAAGTGTTGGGGTGAGCGCAGCCCACCCACACGCGAGGCCCATGTCCCAGCCCTTCCGGCCACACTCTGTCTCCCAGGCTCACTCCTGGCAGTGCTGGGCACAGAACTGGGTGTGACCACATGCCATTACCTGAACCTGTGCCTCTATCTCCAGCCCATCTCTGCCTTTGTTCCAGGGTCACACCTGGGCTATGCTCAGGGCTTACTCTTGGCTCTGCGCTCAGGGCTCACTCCTGGCAGTGCTCAGGAGACCATCAGATGGGCACACTGCACGATGTGCCCTGCCCGTTGTGCCCGGCGCCCACCATCTCTGCTCTTCCTGAACTCACCTGACCGACTGCCAACACCTCCTATGCCGGGTTGTCTCCCTTCAAAATGCCTGCGTGTGTTGGAACATTCATGACAGGACTGATCGCCAAAAATGTGGCTGTGCCCCCATGTACCCACTCTCACGAGGCTCTGCAGTCAGCTCCTGCCTGCTGTGTGTCCCCCCGGACGGGGAGTTCACGGCTGAGGGGGGAGTGGAGGTGGGAGGGGGTGACTCAGCGGGTACTGGTCAGGGAGCAGGAAGGGAGGTCTTAGCCGGAGGGGCCGAAGTGGGCTGTGACCCCTTAGCTCGCTCCCAGACCCTTCCAAACTGGAAGGCAAGGAGCAGTCCGGGGCACACACCCCCTCCCCCCCACCCCGTCACCTTGCGGGGAGGAATGTGACAAGGGGACCCGGTGAACCCACACTTCAGAACCAAGTCCAAGGCCATGAAGCCCTAGCGGGGGCCCAGCTGCCACAGCCGGATTGAACCGGCTCTATCCTCGCCAGGCAGCTCTCCCTGGAAACGGTCTGGCGTGCCGTGTGTGTGTGTGTGTGTGTGTGTGTGTGTGTGTGTGTGTGTGTATGCTGCGTATTTCCCAGGCAGTGTGTGCGTACCATGTGTGTGGTGTGTGCTGTGTTTCCCAGGCAGTGTATGTGGTTCTGTGTGTGTGTGTGTGTGTGGTAGTGTGTGTGTGTGTCCCAGGTAGTGTACGTGTGTCTCTCCCAGCTCTCCCAGGCAGTGAATATGTGTGTGTGCCGTGTCTCCCAGGCAGTGTGTGTGTTTCCCAGGAAGTGTGTGTTTGTGTGTGTGTGTGTACAGCACGTGCGCACGTGAGTACAAGGATGCAGGGGTGAGATTCAGAAAGTCCAGAACACTTGGATTTTGTGTGTCTAAAGACCATCTCAGAACTGGAGTCTCAGGGCACCAGGATGCTGTGTAAGGGCTGCATTCCCGAGCCAAATGATTTTTACTTTTTCCTTTTAAAATAAAGTTCAGGGGGGTAGAGCAATAGGACGGTGGGGAGGGTGTTTGCCTTGCACACCACCGACCTGGACAGGAGGAGCCTCAGGGGAGACGCCTGGGGTGGGGGGAATTGCGGGGAGCAGGAGAGAGAGCTGCACCCCAGGACAATCCTGTGTACACCCTGGTCACCAGCTGCAGGAAGGCCGCTGGACACAGCCTGGACCGCCGACTGTCCTCCACTCCCAAACCCAAGTGCTGCCTCTGCTCCACACCCCTAAACCCGGGTCCTGCACCCACACCACTAAACCTGGGTCCTCATCCCACCTCCCAAACCCAGGTCCTGCACCCACACCCATGAAACCTGGGCCCTGCATCCCACAACCCCTAAACCTGGGTCCTATACCCCACACCCCAAAACCCGGGCCCTGCACCCACACCCCCGAACCCGGGTCCTGCACCCACACCCCCAAACCCTGCCTGGGCCCCATGAAGCCAGCCTGTGCCCAGGTATGAGAGCAGGATGCTGGCAGGTGCCTCTTGCCTGTCCTGCAGGTGGTTTCCGGCCCAAGCGGGAAGCTGTGATCCTGAGCGCTTGGAAGGCCCAGGCGGGCTGGACACACCGTCCCTGTCTCGGCGCACACCTGCCTGCCCCCACTAAGGGGCACAGGGGCCCAGGGTCCAGGCATGGGTGGGTGGGGCAGCCCACCCACCCAGATGAACTCCCCAGGTGCCCAGACCTCCCAGACAGGCCACTTTGTGTTGAAGGTGACCCGGCCGCGGCGTCCAGCTTCTCTGTCCCCCGCCACCCCGTCCTGTGGAGGGCTGTGGCGTCTGGGGGCACTCAGCTGTCCAGGCCCCCAGGTCAGATCCTCACGTGCGGCGCCGCCCCCGGTGACTCACTACTGGATGGGGGAGAATGACAGGTCCCCGGGAATTACCTGCCACCTTTTCGGCGCGCGGGAAGGAGGCACTTCCAGGGGGCGGGCGGCAGGGGCCCAGACGGGGCGCCCCCTCCCCGGGACCCGCCTCCGCTGCCCCGCTTCTCCCGGGCCACCTGGTTCCGAGCCCCCAATTTCCACTCGGCGCGCACGCGGGTCTCCCCCCCGCCCCGCCTCCCGCCCCCGGAATGCAGCTGCAGCTGCGGGTCTCCGAGCCCCGCCTGGCGGAGGGGGCGTGCGGGCCCCCGCGGCTCAGGGTGCGAGCAAGCGGGGGGGGCGGGGCCGGACCCGCGGGAGTGGGGGGACGCGATTCCGAGACGGCCGCGGACACTCCCCGCCTCCTCCTCCCCTGACCCCCACCCCGCACACCCCCCTACCCCCCGCCCCGCGCTCCACCTTTCCCGGCTCCTCCCTCGCGCGCGGGGCCCTCCCTCCCCGCTCCCCTCCCGCCGCCACCCCTACCCCCGGCGCCTGCCCTCCCTCCCCGCCCCCTGCTCCCACTTTCCCCGCACCTACTCGGGCCGCCGAGCCCTCGGGCCCGCACCTGCCCGCCGCCACCCCCCGCCCGGCCGCCCCGCGACTGCACGCGCGCCCCTCCCGCGGGGCCCCGCTGCGCCCCTCGCCTGGCGCTCCCCGCCCCCTCCGGGCGCCGCTTCCCTCTCCCCTCCCCGCGAAGTTTGGGGCTGTCAGTCCGTCGGTGCTCCGCGCCGTCCGCACCCAGCGCCGGGGTCCCGGGAGGGCGGCGCGACGCCCGGGCCGCAGGTGAGGGTCCGCGGGGCGCACCGACAGTCGCCGCCCGCCGCCCCGGCGCAGGTGACAGCCCCGGGCTGGGGGCGCCCCCGCGCCGGGGGAAAGAAAGGGCCGGGGAGGGCGGGACGGCCGGGCAGGGGGCTGCCAGGGGGAGCGGGAGAAGTGGGGGTCGGGGGAGGGTCCCGGGAGAGGGAGCCGGGGAGGGGCCGCGGCGGGGCGCGGAGGGCGGCGGACAGGTGAGCCCCGCGGCCTGGGAGGGGGCCGGGACGCGCCGGGAGTCCGTCCGGAGGAGCCACCCCGGAGGGCAGGGGCGGGGCGAGGCGGGTCCCTGGGGGTCGGGTGGGGAGGGAGAAACTTGGGAGGGGGCTGAGAAGTCCGCGGGGGCAGCCGCGGGGAAGGAAGCGGCCGCCGGTGGGCGCGGGGCGTGTGTGTGGGGGGGAGGCCGGTCCGGGGAGGGGGTCCCCGGAGAGCCGGCGGCCCCCGCCCCCGGGTTCCGGGGGGGCCCCGACCACCCGGGCGCAGCGCGGGGAGCCGGAGCGGAGGGGGAGGGGAGGAGCGGTTCTGGGGCGCGGGCAGGAGGGAAGGGAAGCGGGCGGCGGGGGAAGGGAGCCGGGGGCCCCGGAGGGGGAGGGCTGCGGGCGGGCGGGCGGGCGGGAGGGACGGGGTGCGGGCGGGCGGGCGGGAGGAAGGGGAGGCGGCGGGGGAGGAGGGGCGCGGGGAGGGGCGCGCCGGGCGGAGGGGGAGGGCGGCGCTGGGAGGAAGGAAAGGAGGAGGGGAAGGAAGGAGGAGGGTGGGCGCCGGGGAGCCCCGGCGGCGGCGGCGGCGGCGGGGGGAGGGGAGCGCGGGTCAGGGGGCGGCGGCCGCGCGGGCGACCCGAGGGGGCGGGCGGGGGGCGGGCCGGGGCGGGGCCGGGGAGCGGGCCGGAGCCGCGCCGGGGCGGGCGGGCGCGCTGCCCGCGGGGTGGGGGAGGGGAGCCCGCGGAGGGCGGGGTGGCCGAGCCGGGGGAAGCCCCGCGGGGGAGGGGCGGGGGGCTGCGGTCGGGCTGTGCGGGGAGGGCGGCGGGGGCCGCTTCCTGCCTGCCGCGGGGACCCTCTTCTGGGGGCGCCTCTCCCCGCGGGTGCCCAACGGTGACACTCACCTCCGCCCCCGGGCGGGCCCCTCCCCGGCGCTCGCCTGGACGGCCCCGACTCCCGCCCCCTGCCCAGTGCCCGGGAGCCGGTACCCGGGGTGGGAGGTGGGGTGGGCTGACCGAGCCACCTGCAGGGGGGAGGACGTGCCGGGATCCCCAGGGCTGGCCGGAAGGGCTGAATTCAGGCCTCCTCCCGCGCCCCCACCCCTCGCCCTCGGAAACCGGCTTTCCCCACCTGCGCGCGGGCCATCCCCCGGGTTGGCGCCCCGGGAGCGCGGGTGGGGGGAGCCGTCCTGGGAGACCGGGACCCCGAGCGTCTTTCCCCCTAGGGCCCGAGGCTGGTCCCGGAGGCGCTGCGGGTGCCATGAGAGAGACCTTGGATGCCTTCAGCTCCCTGGGTGAGCCGCCAGGCGGAAGGAACTTGGGGAAGGTCGGGGACAGGCTGCGCCCCCCCGGGGAACCCTGGGCTTCACGGGCCGCTGGCTGCTGCAGGCTCTGCGCCCTCACCCCTAGGTGGGGCATCAGCTGAGCCTCCTCTTCTCTCTCCTGATCCCTGGCGGGCCTGGGGGCGCTGAGAGGATCTGGGGCAACAGGGTGAAGGTGGGATGCTGGGAGGGGACCCAGAACCCCCTCTGGGGTCGTGCTCCTGGCAGCTTTATCTGATCCCGTCTTTCTCCCTGGGACAGGATTCTCCGTGGGACCGCGGGGGGACATGGCCCCCCAGAGTGAGCCGGCGGGGGAGAGGTCGTCCCACAGTGCTCGGGAGCAGGGAGAGAGGCCTCTGGGCACGTGCTCTGGTAAGTGGTGGACCCGGGACAGAAGCGGTCCAGTGAGTGTTGGGCACCTTGCAGGTGGTGCCCATGGCTGTTCGGGGGGCTTTGGACTGTTTCTGTGAGCCGAGAGGGAAACACCCCCCACCTTCTCAGGCCTCTGCTGGTTCTCAGGCCCAGAGCACTGTGCGCGGGAGTGTTGGGGAGGGGGTGGTCCTGGGGAATCAGAGGAGAGGTTAAGAAATGTTTGCGCAAGGAGGGGACTTGGCAGACAGACCCCTTCTCTGGGGACCCTATGGCCAGACGGTGCCTGGCTTCTGACAGGTCACTCTTCTCCGGGGATGGGGGGGCTCCTGGGGTGACCAGCCCCCCTCCCCAGCTGCAAACTTAGCCCAACCCCTGCAGCCCAGCAAGGCCATCGCGGCTGCCCTCCGGGGCAGGGTGTCTGGGTTTCCAGGGCTGTCCCCAGACTCCTGGCGCTCCCCCCCTTTTCTGCAGGGTCGGAAGCCCCCAGACCCGAGGAAGGCACCCCCACAGAACGAGCTGAGGCACCCTGCCAAGGTGCCCAGGCATGTGCCCCCGAAAAAACAGAGCCCGTGGGCTCCTGCCCAGGTGAGTCTCTTCCCCTCCAGCTCCCGAGGGGCTCCGGGCTGACCGGGACCCTTCAAGCTCCAGAGCGGCATATGGGATGCACGCCAGCCACTCTAGGCCCTTTGAGTCCCAAATGAACCCAGCCGTGGCACCTCTCTGCAGATGACCTTCAAACCCCAGAGCATCTCACACACCAGCCCTTCCCTCCCAGGCAGGCAGGTTCCCAGAGAAACACGGGGCCTCAACATCCGCTAGGAGTCCCCTCTGCCTGCCGGCCACATACATACTGTTGGTGAACCGGATTAGATTGAGGGGTGAGCCTTTGGCTCCCCAAACACATTTTTTTTTTTGCTTTTTGGATCACACCCGGCGATGCTCAGGGGTTACTCCTGACTCTGCCTCAGGAATTACTCCTGGCGGTGCTCAGGGGACCATACGGGATGCTGGGAATCGAACCCGGGTCGGCCGCATGCAAAGCAAACGCCCTACCCACTGTGCTGTCGCTCCAGCCCCCTCCCCAGATGCTTTTACCCCCGAAACTGCACTCATCATGGTCCCCGAGTGCTCCGGATGCATCGTTCTGCCTTGTCCCCCTGACGCCCGGGCCGATCAAACTGTCACCTCTCTCTCCGCATTCCCACCCATCACTTCCTTCCACTCCCTCCAGCTTATCACCTTTGGCCTGAGTGACATCATTTATTCCACAAGGGCTTATCCAGTGCCCCTGCCCGGTCCCAGCTGTGGAGGAGGAGTGCAGAGAGATGGGGTTTGGGGACACAGAGCTGGGCTTGGGCCTTGCTCCACACTCCCGCGCTAAGGCAGCTCAGCCACCTCATTCTTGGAGCTTCCTCTGCTCCCTCAGGAACAGGAAGGAGAGCCACACACACACCCCACCCCACCCCCCTTGTGGAAGGTTTGCAACATGCTACCCACAGTGCCGCTTCAGACGCCTGGAGTGACACTCCCCGTTTTTATAAGACATGGTCTACCAGCTGTCTGCCCTCCAACATCTAGCTGACACTAATTGCAGGAGAACAAAGAATGCAAAGTGTAACAATAAAGCTTCGCGTAAAGTGTTGACAGGAAGGAGCTCTGAAGGCTTCTGTGGGAGACTCTCCCACATGGGTCTGTCCAAGATGGCTTGTCACTCTGTGCTGCCTTTGGAGAGAGGTGTGCCGTCAGCCCTGACGCAGACAGGGCGAGGCTGGGAAAGCGTTATAGGCTGAGAGGTTACAAGAGATCGGCTTGGCTGAAGGGAGGGTTTCATGTCTGGGAGCCTTCAGAAAACTGCAGGAGGCGGCTGGAACTTCCCTTATCCCTTAGGAAGGAGTTCTTGATGTTGATTTTTTTTTTTTTTTTTTTGCTTTTTGGGTCACACCTGGCAATGCGCAGGGGTTACTCCTGGCTCTGCACTTAGGAGTTACTCCTGGCGGTGCTCAGGGGACCCTATGGGATGCTGGGAATCGAACCCAGGTCGGCCACGTGCAAGGCAAACGCTCTCCCCGCTGTGCTATTGCTCCAGCCCCGTCTTGATGGTTCTTGAGTTGCAGGGTGGCACGGTGAACATGAAGTCAGTACCGCGTGTGATCTGGAGTTACCGGGAGAGTCTCGTTGTGGCTGCCCAGGGGTCCTGCCCGTCAGGTCATTTCCAGCTTCACAGCCAGACAGGAAGTAGAAGCATCTGGTTCGATGGTTCTCAGACAAGAACCATTGGGGGGGTGGCGACTTAAGTGAAGAGAGCAGAATCCTAGTTCCTGCTGCTGGAGATGGCACTTGGTAAAAGATCTCCAGAGCTCCTGGTTTCGGGCTGCGGAGTAGCCTGACCCTTTTTATTTTTCTCTTTGGGTCTCACCCGGCGATGCGCAGGGGTTACTCCTGGCTCATGCACTCAGGAATCACTCCTGGTGGTGCTCAGGGAACCATATGGGATGCTGGGAATCGAACCCAGGTTGGCCACGTGCAAGGCAAACGCCCTCCCCGCTGTGCTATCGCTCCAGCCCCCTAGCCTGACCCTTACTGAGAAGCCAACTTAGTTCCAAAGAGCTGAAGCAGTTACCCAAGGGCAAGGTACTGTTTGTGGACCAGGAGCTCCCAAGTGGACACTTCCCATCTGAGTCCCAAGCTCCTTCCTCTGGGTCAGGCGTGTTATGTAGCACTGGTCTGGAGAGCCTCAACCAGGGCTCCAGCGTGGCCCGGGCTCGGGTTCCTGGGAAATCAAAACTTCCGCTTCCTAAATGCATTCTGATTGTGGAGGCCGGCATGAGGAGATGGTGGCAGAGGGTGCTTCCATGTCACGAGGGGGTTGGGGAGACACAGGTATTTCAAGGTGAGGTTGCTTCCAGAAAGGAGTTGAGTGGACAAGAGGTCACTGGTAGGGCTGGAGCCATAGCACAGTGGGTAGGGCGTTTGGGTTGGATCCCCGGCATCCCATATGGTCCCCCGAGCACCGCCAGGAGTAATTCCTGAGTCCAGAGGCAGGACTAACCCCTGAGCATCTCCGGTGTGACCCAAAGAGGGGAGGAGGAAAAAAAAAAAAGAGGACGCTAGTAGCAGAGACCCCCAGAGTGAACCACCATCCGACTGGGGGGAGGGGCTTCAAGGAGCAGCAGCGCCTTCCGGGGGCGCTGCAGGCGTTTCTCTGCGCGGGAGGAGGGAGGGAGCAACCTTCCAGCAGAAGCCAGACCAGGAAGGTCGGAAAACGGAGGTGGCGCGGCTCGGACTGAAGGGGGCATAACCGACTTGTGTGTTCCAGGGGACCAGTGGGAGATTCGCAAGGTGAAGGTGGAGGATGAGGAACAGGAGGCGGCCGAGGAGGTGGAGTGGCCGCGGCATCTGCCCTTGCTCCCGGGCCCCTTCCCCGCGCCGGACTTGGGCCCCCTGGCCACCACCTACAAGCTGGAGCCCGGCGCCCCCGCGCCCCTGGGCGGGCTGGCGCTGGCCGGCTGGGCCCCGGCGGCGGCCGCGGACAAGCCGTACGGCTGCGGGGAGTGCGAGCGGCGCTTCCGGGACCAGCTGACCCTGCGGCTGCACCAGCGGCTGCACCGCGGCGAGGCCCCGTGCGCCTGCCCGGACTGCGGCCGCAGCTTCACGCAGCGCGCGCACCTGCTGCTGCACCAGCGCAGCCACCGCGGCGAGCGGCCCTTCCCGTGCTCCGAGTGCGACAAGCGTTTCAGCAAGAAGGCGCACCTGACGCGCCACCTGCGCACGCACACGGGCGAGCGGCCCTACCCGTGCGCCGAGTGCGGCAAGCGCTTCAGCCAGAAGATCCACCTGGGCTCGCACCAGAAGACGCACACGGGCGAGCGGCCCTTCCCGTGCGCCGAGTGCGAGAAACGCTTCCGCAAGAAGACGCACCTGATCCGCCACCAGCGCATCCACACGGGCGAGCGGCCCTACCAGTGCGCGCGCTGTGCCCGCAGCTTCACGCACAAGCAGCACCTGGTGCGCCACCAGCGCGTGCACGACGCGGCCGGCCGCGCCCCGCCGGCCCCCGCCGCGCCCGTCGCGCCCGCCGGCCCCGCGCCCGCCCCGTCCGGGCCCGCGCCCTTCGCGTGCGCCCGCTGCGGCCGGTGCTGGAAGAAAAACCTCGCCACGCTGCAGCCTCGCGGCGAGGGCCACCCCCTGGGCTGCGACGCGTGCGGCCCGGACGCCGCCGCGGACCCCCCCCGCCGCCCCGTTGACGTCCGCGGCCGGCCCGACGGCGGCCCCGCGCGCCCCGACCCCCGAGCGCGCCGTCTGCTGCCCGGACTGCGGGCGCGGCTACGCGCACGGCCAGCACCTGGCGCGCCACCGGCGCGGCCACGCGGGCGAGCAGCCCTTGGCCTGCGCGCAGTGCGGCCGCCGCTTCGGCTCGCGGCCCACCCTGGTGGCCCACTCGAGGGCGCACGGCGGCGCCCGGCCCTTCGCCTGCGCGCAGTGCGGCCGCCGCTTCAGCCGCAAGTCGCACCTGGGCCGCCACCAGGCCGTGCACACCGGCAGCCGCCCGCACGCCTGCACCGTCTGCGCCCGCAGCTTCAGCTCCAAGACCAACCTGGTCCGCCACCAGGCCATCCACACGGGCGCGCGCCCCTTCCCCTGCCCGCAGTGCGGCAAGAGCTTCAGCCGAAAGACGCACCTGGTGCGCCACCAGCGCATCCACGGCGACGCGGCGCACCCGGGCCCCGACGCGGACCTCGCGGCACCCGGCTGGCCCCTGCCCACCCCGGGGGCAGCGCCCCCGATCTTTTTCTGAGCCCGGCTGGGAAACCGCGCCCCAGCTGGCCATCCCCGCCTCTGTCCCTGTCCTACGGGGGGGAGAAGTCCAGAAAGGAGAACCAGCTTTGACATTCTGTGACCAAGACCACACTGAGTCCCAGCCGGAAGGGCTGGACGCGGACTTTGGGGGGGAACTGGACCCCGCCGGCTGCTCTGGGCACCGGGCTAGGGGAGGAGGGAGGGCTTCACAGCGCTCTTGCTTCATTAAAACGTTGCACCCGAAGGCCCTGGGACCGTGCTTGAGTCAGGGGAGGGAGCCCCTGCCTCTAGCCACGGGCTGTGCCCGCCCCTTCCCCTCCTGTCCTGGGGGAGCCCCGCTGGTGGCCGCCCACGGTTACCCCCCAGTTCAAGTGTAACACGGATAGGCCGGCCTCGGACTCCCAAGCAGAAGGAAGCCTGGTGCCACCAGGCCCTCGGAACGTGGTTTTCTTCCACGATCGGCCGAATGATCTTTTTCCTCGCCCGGGCTCTCAGGAGGCGACAGTATTTGTTAAACCGACAGTTGCCAAATCACTCCCGCGCTTCCTGCTTCCGGTTCAGAAATGAGACAAGTCGAAAGTTGACCCCATTCATTTCATAGGCGTTTCTCCTGACGGTGGCACAAGGGGCAGGATGCCCTTTAGGCTTCCATGGGGAGGTACCCCAGATGGGCTCCGGTGAACTAGTGGAGCCAACCCCACACCGACCCCCTTCAACCCCCTGCCCGGCACTTGCTTTCTTTCCTACACACTCTGGTGGGCTCTGATGAACCCTTGATGCAGGACTTCCTGTAGCTGTGCCTTCCCGACCCGACCGTCGGGGTCTGCAGGGCCGGCTGGCATGGGGGGTGGGGAAGCCCGGCTTCCTGTGCTCCTTGCTCTCCTGTGGTCTCACTGAAGTCCTCGCTTAGGTTTGCCACCTGGAATCCTGTGAGGACCCAGGCCCATCCCCACGTGTGCAAACCAGGTACCAGGCAACACTGGGGAGGGAGGGGCTCAGGGTACCAGCAGAGGGCATGGTCCCACACCCAGGACCGCAGGAGGGTAGCAGCGGGGCCCGCCTGGGGGGCATGAGAACAAGTCCCTGTGTGTGAGCGGTGCAGGTGACAGGGCTGGTGACTGACCACAGGGTCAGGAGAGGAGCCCAGAGACGCTGACCAGGCAGCTGGCCCGGGCCTGGCCGGAGCCTGCCAGGTGGCTCTGGTGGCTGCTTTCGAGAGACTGGGCAGTGCCAGTCCCCTGAGACGGGGCTGTGCAGTAAGGAGACGGTCTCGGTGCTGCCTGGTTGGCGTGACCAGGAGGCAGGAGGCTCTTGAGCGCTGTACTCCAGAGGGCTGAGGTGGAGGAGGGGAGCCCGAGGCCCAGACAGACACCCTAAGGTGTGTGTCTGAAGCTACAACGCCTTGTGTGAGCTCCCTGTAATCCCCAAGTCGTGGGTAATGTGTGAAGATGAGCCAAAGGGGCTTCAGACCAGACCCCCTACATCCCTTCAGGCGACAGGGCAGAGAGAAGCCTCTAAGGGCTGGAAGGACAAAAGACCCCCCCACTCCTGGAATGGACCCCCCAAGGCAGCAGAGGAGCAGAGGTGAGACTGTGTCAGGGAGGAAGAAGCGGTCCTGGCAGGGGGCACAGAGGGGGTTTGGAGCGAGATTGTCAGTGCTCTTGTGAAGAGCAGCATGGGGGCTGCGGGAATGGGGTTTGCGTCCAGTGGGGAGTGTCCCGAGCAAAGTCCCAGAGAAGCCGGAGAACGTGCATCTTAAACACAGCTGAGGGGAGCCAGGAAGCCTTCCTGGAGGAGGCAGGGGCGGGAGACTGGGCAGAGTGCTCAGACAGGGGCATAAAACACACTGAGGAAGAGCCGGAGATCTAGGACAGGGGGCAGAGCGACTGCCTGGCACACAGCTGACCTGAGTTTGATCCCTGGCACCCCATCCAGTCCCCTGAGCACTTCCAGGTGGGATCCGGTGTGGAGCCAGGAGCAAGCCCTGAGCACCTCCGGATGTGGCTCAAAAATGGAAAAACTGAAAATAAATTTATTTTGCCTGTCAAAAGAAACAAGGACTTAAATAAAAAGACATCGTACTGAATCGGAGAAATATTTACACACAGTACATCAGACAAAGAGTTAGCACTGTAGCACTGTCCTCCTGTTGTTCATCGATTTGCTCGAGCGGGCACCAGTAATGTCTCACAACAAATTGTGAGACTTGTTGTTACTGTTTTTGGCATATTGAATACGTCACGGGTAGCTTGCCAGGCTTTGCCTGGAGCGATAGCACAGCGGGTAGGGCGTTTGCCTTGCACTCAGTCAAGCCAGGTTCGATTTTTAGCATCCCATATGGTCCCCCGAGCACTGCCAGGAGTAATTCCTGAGTTCACGAACCAAGTGTAACCCCTGTGCATCGCTGTGTGTGACCCAAAAAGCAAAATAAATCAATAAATAAAGTGGCTCTCTGGCCCACTTCCTCCACAGACAAAGGGTTAAAATCCAAAATATATAAAGCTCTCTCAAAGTTCAGCATCCAAAACACCATAACCCCATCCAGAAAAATGGGGAGAAGAGATAAACAGACAGTTCAGCGAGGAGGACACACGGATAGTAAGTAGGTGCATGAGTGTTCACTCTCTCTCCTTACTAGAAAACGCCAACCCAAACAAAAACGAGATACCATCTCACACCAGTAGCACTGCACTGCACTGTCCTCCTGTTGTTCGTTGATTTGCTTGAGTGGGCCCAGTAACATCTCCATTGTGAGACTTGTTACTATGTTTGGCATATCAAATACGTCACCGGGAGCTTGTCAGGCTTTGCCGTGTGGGCGAGATACTATTGGTAGTTTGCCGGGCTCTCCGACAGGGGTGGAGGAATCGAACCCGGCTCGGCCGGGCCGCCTGCGTGCAAGGCAAATGCCCTACTGCTGTGCTATCGCTCACACCAGTGAAGATGGAATATACCAGAAAGACTGAAAACACGGGGTTGGAGAGATGGTACAGCGGGGAGGTGCTTGCCTTGCATGCAGCAGACCTGGGTTCGATCTCCAGAATCTCACATGGTCCCCCAAGCACCAAGAGGAGTAATTCCTGAGTGTAGAGCCAGGAGCAACCCCTGAGCGTCACTGGGTGTGGCCCAAACACCAAAACAAAAAAAAAAATAAATAAACAGATCAGAAACAGCCTGTGTTGACTGGGATGAGGGATAAGGACCCGCGTTCACTCTGTGGGATTCTCCTCCGGGTCAGCCTCTGTGGAGAACAGCCTAGAGATGTCTCAGCAAGGTGAGACTAAGAGCTCCCCTATGACCCAGTGATTTCACTTCATGGTATCTACCCCCCAAACATGTGCACACGTGCACACCTATGTTTATCGCAGAGTCCAATAGCCGGAGTCTGGAAACAACCCACATAGTCAATGGCAGATGGGGTGGTTGGTGCAGGGGTGTGTAGACACCGTGGAATACTACGCAGCTGGAAGGAAAGATGAAATCAGGCCGCTAGCTGCATCTTGGATGAAATTGGAGGGAGTCACGTTAAGTCAAGTTGGAGAACAAACACAGGACAGTCTCACCCACCTGCGGTACATGGCACTGAGACAGGGGAATCAGAGGCTCTGGGTGAAGGTGGCACCGGGTTGCAGACCGGAGAAGGGGCGGGGCCGAGTGGGGGAGATGCTGAGGCCATCAGATGCGCCGTGAAAACATGTGGAGGGTCTGGGCACTCGAGGGTGGGTGAGGGGAGGGCGCTGTGTGCATCCAAACCACAGGCATGAACACTACTGTAGTAAACATGGGACTCGAGCTAGAAGACTTTGGTGGGGGGTGCAGAGCCCAAGCCCCGGAAGCCTGAGACACCGTCACTGTCAGTGTCCGGGAACCACAGCGCCTGCGCGAGAGCTGGAGAGAAAAAGGACCAGCTCTAAGGTGACTGACAGTGCCGGCCAGCAGCATTTTATTATTTATTTATTTATTTATCGCTTCTTTATAGTCATGCTTGAAGGACTTCTTTTTTTTTTTAATTTTTATTAGTGAAACACCATGAGGCACAGTTGTAGATTTACAATTTTTTGTGCTTGGGTTTCCATTGTACAATGAATATTTATTGATCTTTTATTTTGAGCACTCCAACAGCGCTGGCAGGGCCCAGGCGGTGCCGGGGCGCCCCCACAGATGAGGCATGTGCTCTGACCCTATGACATCTCTCCAGTCTAGCATGTTAATTCCTGAAATATCACAGAGAAATCCCCTCCCCTTCCCTCCCCTCCCCTCCCCTTCCCTCCCCTCCCTTTCCCTCCCCTCCCCTCCCCTCCTCTTCCCTCCCCTCCCCTCGCCTTCCCTTCCCTTCCCTGCCCTGCCCTGCCCTGCCCTGCCCTGCCCTGTCCTGCCCTGCCCTGCCCTTTCTTCCCCTCCCCACCCCTGCGGTCCCCCCTTCCCTCGCCTCCTCTCCCCTCCCCTCCACTCCCCCCTCCCCTCCCCTTCTCTTCCCTGCCCTGCCCTTTCCTCCCCTCCCTTCCCTTCTCTTCTCTTCCCTCTTTTTTATTTCCTTTCCTTTCCTTTTGCGTGTTACGGGGCCCACATTAGGCAGTGCTCAGGACTTACTCCTGGCTCCGTGCTCAGGGATCACCCTTGGAGAGGCTTGGGGAACCATGTGGGGTGCCAGGCATCGAACCGGGCTCTGGCATGTGCCAGGCAAGTGCCCTGCCCGCTGTACTATCACTCCCACCCCAGCACTTGCAGCTCTTGTGGTGAAAACTTGGAGGACAGCTCACCGTGGCTGGTCCGAGCAACCACTTTTGGCTTTCGTGCCCTCCCCCACTCCACTGCCCCTCCCCCTCCCCCCAGCCTCTCCCCCCACCACTCTAGCCTCCGCCCCCACTGCCCACCCCCTGCCCAGCCTCACCACCCCCCCTCCCCCTCCACTCCAGCCCCAGCTCCAAAGGAATCTGGCCAATGTGGGAAGTCAAACACACGAGAGCAACATTTTTGTTGTTACACTAACTCTTTTGATTCTCTAAACATTCTGGAACTCCCAGTGAAGCGAGCGTCTGCATCCTGCTCCCTGTGAGAGGCCTGGAGGCAGACAGTCCGGAGAACCTGGTTCACCTCAGCTCTTTTGCAAAGCGCATCTCTGCCTTCGAGCTTGTTTGCAAATAGTCA